AGACTCTGGAGCGGTTCATTGCTGGTGTGACGCAGTCCGCATCAAAACATGGGAAACAAACTATTTGCGTGTCATCGCCTTGTTTTGCCATGTGTGCAACATCCAGAAACCTATAGGGTCATGCATTCATTCTGGTGACTGCTTACCTCACTGGTCCCCTGTGTACAGAGAAAAGGCAGTGGTACAATCACATCAGAGCAAACCTCCTCACTGCATAACGTCTCTCATTATATGTGTTATAATGTTTTTAATGCACGTTGCCGGCTGCAGAGTCTGTTGATACACTCTCCAGATTAACAGCAGCATGAAAATAACCTGCAATGCTCCATGATGCAGGCTCCAGTAGAAATGGCTGGAATCTGCATTTTATCCGCTTAATGTCCCGCCATTTGTTGAAAAAGCATCTCCGTACAATGACTTTAGTTTACAGTTCATAGTCCGTTTGAGGTTGCCTGGGTGAACGCAAACCCAACCTTCTGCAAATGAACGATGTAATACACTTGCGTCTGGTGTAAAGACGCAGACTCTTCAGCGTGAATGCAACCTTAGAGATGGTTATTGCTCAGATCTTTGGTTCTTAGCCCCTCTATATGCGACGAGTGGAATGTTATGTTCATTCTTTTATAATGACCTTGCGGTGTCTTCAGATCCTCTCTAGTTACTTACAGATGCTGCGCCTTCTGCTGGTTTGGGGGATTTCACAATGAGTGGTTTGCCCCACCAGCTTGCCATGCCCTTCGTTCAACCAAATGACTCTGGATCTACACGTCAAGCCCCTCAAGGATTTCCCATATTCTGCCTCCAACCAAGAGCATGCTTCAAAGCATACAATTCAGCTTGGTACTTGTATCTTCTTCTGTCCCAACCTCCTGTGTACTTATGCAATAGATATAACAGTTGTTCATGCATTAATTGTATTTTCATTCGAATCCTGCAATCTTCAAGTGCTAAGTATAAGCCACGCTAGAGTTCATTCATTTGCTCCTCAAGGGCATTAAGAAGGCACGTCCTCAACGCAATGATAAAGACTGCCTCTTAACATGTATACGTTCAGGCAAAGGGGTTTCACTATACATTGATAATGTCAGATGCAGTTGTTACAGCTTTCTGTGGGTTTCTCAGGTGGTGAATATACACAGACCTCTCACCTTTTAATCCTCAGCATAATCTTACCCTTACTGAATTAACTTTGGAGATCAAATATACACACTGTTTTTGAAACATTCAATGTCTGACAGTTCTGTTTGGGGAGTCAAGGAACCGCGAATAATCATTGCTAAAGCTAACACTGTTTGCTTTGTCCTTTATCTTTCATGCTGAACTTCTCGCATCATTGCCCTCTGACACATGGGTCGGCACTTATGTTTATTCAATGGCTGCAAACCCAACAACGAGGGTTCTCCTCCAAGCTGCGCGATCTCTGCCTAAGCTGCGATCTGCCCAAAGATGTATATCTGTAGAATTCTGCTATTGCATATCAGGTGGTTGCTGGGTTTGACTATATTTATTCTATTATAGTATATCCCCCTCATAGCTGCATGCTTGGGGGGGAAAGCTCATTGTCGCTGCCTCAAGACCTAGACACAGCAGTCTTGATAGGTAGTATATTCCCCTCAAACGCAGTTTTGGGGTATAGTATCTAATCTCCACGCAGTTTTGGGGGTTAGTTATTTAATCATCACTCATCGTGCTATGTATATCTGGAGTGATGAGGCCCGAGCCTAGACGCCAAATTCAACTATATGCTGCTTCTAATAACCATGTTAAAGAAACACGTGAGTTGTCTGACTGATATGGGGCGAAGCCTGCGAGCTAGTTCAGGCAGTTAACTCGAGCACTTATGCTGCATTCATACATAACGCCCCTTCCCATTCTACAACCAACCAAACAGAGTCTCCCTAATATGCCGCTCTATTTAACCTGCCAGATCTCTCTCCATGCATTGCTGGCTGCTGCTATTGCTGCAGCTACTTCCACGTCGCTGCTGCTTGCCTGCCCCACCACCACCCCAGCTTCCACCTGTAGGCTCTGGGGGTTAGTTATTTAATCATCACTCATCGTGCTATGTATATCTGTGGAGTGATGAGGCCCGAGCCTAGACGCCAAACTCAACTATATGCTGCTTCTAATAAACATGTTAAAGAAACGTGAGTTGTCTGACTGAACTCTATATTACGACCCCTTACCCAAAGAACCCCGTCATCAGCGTATAGTGACATCCCTACATTTTGCTGAACCTGTTTAAAGATATCATTAATCATAATGTTGAAAAGTAACGGACTACAAACACTGCCCTGCAGAGTTCTGTTCCCACTTTAACTTCTATTGTCCTCCCAAAGAGAACATCTGACACCCATTTATACATTTTACCATACACCCATAAACCATTTAGTCTTATAAGTAATCCCTCCTTCCATAGCATGTCATACGCTTTCACTACATCAAAAAATACTGCTATGACCATTTCTTTGTTGGTTTGAGCTTTCCTGATTTCTGACTCTAGACATAAGATGGAGTCCATAGTGCCTCGCTCTTTCCTCTTTCGCTCTGATAAGAAGAAAAAAGGTTTCTGCTTTAAAAAAAAAAAGAAAGTCTCTCTGTTACCATGCGTTCCATGGTTTTGCCTAATTGTGAGGTTAATGTGAGTGTGTGTGTGCGCACACACTCACACACATACACACACACACACACACTCTCTCTCTCTCTCTCTCTCTCACACACAGACACACACACACACGCACACACACACACACACTCTCTCTCTCACACACAGACACACACACACTCTCTCTCTCTCACACACACACTCTCTCTCTCTCTCTCATACACACACTCTCCCTCTCTCTCTCTCTACCACAGACACACACACACACACACACACACTGAACAGCTCTCTCTCTCTCTGCAGTTGGTAAATCGTCATAAGTCGTCACCATGGTAACCTTTGATCTCTGGGTTTACACACACAGCTGTTTGTAAACATTCATTCACTACTACTTACATTTAATATCTTTATTTAACTCCTTCAGCCTAATTTCAGCTGCAGGAACCATTCAAATATCAAACTATTCAGCTATTTCAGGACATTGAGGCTATACGTGTTGTTTATACCTTTTTCAAACCTTTTCTTTTAAATATTAAGCTTCTTCACTATTTGTCTTACTCTTCCAGTTTAACATTTCACTTTCAAGTTTTCAACAAAGTCATTGCAATGCATTTGAGCTGTAACAATTTGGTTCAAATCATTTCACTTTTCTGCATTTCTCCGCTAAGTTCAGAAACACACTGACTTTGTTTTTGTAGCTACAAGCAGCTACCATTCAGCTAATAACATATTCAGCTTTTTCTGCATTTTCAGCTAAATTCAGCCACAAATGTTCACAGTTTACAGCATTCACACGCATTTTCTGCAGGAAATGCATTTTCTAGTTTCAACCATACTTTCGCACTCCATAACTTCAGCTTACTTTCAGCTACAGAAACCATTCATGAAACTATTCAGCCTTTTCAGGAATCGATGGGAAGCCTTAAACTTTAAAAAAAATATTTTATACTTTTTGAAATATTCAGCTTTTTAAACTCTTTTTTTAACATGGAAGTCAATGGGACGACTCTTCAAATCCTCTTTAACTACACCTTACGCCAAATGCTTGTCCTTCCACATACTTTCAGCTAGACACTTCATTCCTACTTTAAAATGATCACAAGACCTTCAGCTATTCCAAAATGATTTTTATTTTTGATATCTTTTACACTTTTTGAGATATTTAACTTAGTTTGGAGCTTGGTAGAGAGGCCTTTTTCAGATTTTAACATTAGTGTGGATGGAGCAGCTCGTTAAGTCTAGAGTGCTTTGATCTCAAAACAGAGTGCAGCAGTGCTTCAAATTCTCCCCAAAAAATATTTAAATTAAAACAGAGGAGCGACATTTCGCCGACAACTGCGCCGAGCACTTGACTTTATGCAGGTAGCCAGACAGTGGGACATTGTACGAAAAGTCAGCACACTCAGCACGGATAGTGCGCGCAACATGATTGCAGCGTCCAGGCAGCTCCCATTTGAGCATATATGCCTTGAGCTGCACATAGCTCCAACGATCCATCACAGTGTCTCCACATTCACACACACACACACACACACACACACACACACACACATCCACACACGCACACACACTTTGTATTGTATTATTGTATGAGAGAGGTTCCAGGTTGAATTGAGGAGAATATTTGTAATGTTCAGAGGTTGTTGTGTTTAATATTCATGAGAATATTCGTCATTGTTCAAATGATAATAAACAAACATATAAAGCATATTTGTCCACTCATATGTTGATAAGAGTATTAAAAACTTGAAAAATATCCCTCTAAGGTACATTTAGAACAGATAAAAAATGTGCGATTAATCGCGATTAACTATTTTAATCGACTGACAGCCCTAATTTTTAATCATTGGCAATTTTAATATTCATGTGTGCTGTGATTCCCGACCGCTCGTCAAAGATTTTAGGAATCTCATTGACTCTTTTAATCTTAAACAGTCGGTTAACGGCCCGACACATGAGAAGGGACACAAACTGGACCTTGTGTTGTCTCATGGTTTAGATGTTTGTATCAGGGAAATTTGTGACACAGGTATTTCGGACCATTTGCCTGTGTTATTTACTATGTTTGTTTTTTCAATTGTGCTTTGTATCATGTTTTATTATTGTACTCCCATTGTGTTATTTTATATTGTATGTATTGCCTGTACAGCACTTTGGTCAACTGAGGTTTTTTTAAATGTGCTATATAAATAAATAAAGATTGAGATTTGTTATAATAGTTTTAAAATAGTTTTTTTTAAATAGCTGTCATAACTATTTGTATTTTGTTTTGCTGCGATTCTTCTTTCTGTGTCTTTTTATGCTCCACATATACCAAAGCAAATTCCTCGTATGTGTAAACCTACTTGGTAAATAAAACCGATTCTGATGAATATGTGTTTCCTGTTTCCTGCAGACGTCCAGCAGCTGGTGGTGGTTAAAGAAGAGGTTCCCCCTGAGCAGCAGGAGTGGAGCTCCAGTCTGGACCAGGAGGACCCAGAGCCCCCCCCACACATTAAAGAGGAACAGGAGGAACTCTGGAGCAGTCAGGAGGGAGAGCAGCTTCAAGGGCTGGAGGAGGCTGATATCACCAAGTCCACATTCACTCCTGTCCCTGTGAAGAGTGAAGATGATGAAGAGAAACCTCAGTCCTCTCAGCTTCATCAAAGACAAACTGAACACCTGGAAACAGAAGCTGATGGAGAGGACTGTGGAGGACCAGAACCAGCCAGGAACTCAGATCCAGAGAGACACTTACTACCAGAGACTGAGGACAAACCTGGAGACTCTTCTGAAGACACTGAAGACAGTGCTGATTGGAAGGAGACCAGAGAACCAGCTTCAAACTCTCAGAGAAATAAACAAGACTCTGTCAGTGATTCAAGACGTAGTGCAGGAGAGAAACCATTCAGCTGCTCAGTTTGTGAGAAATCTTTTACACAGAGTGGAACTTTAAATAGACACATGAGAATCCACACAGGAGAGAAACCGTTCAGCTGCTCAGTCTGTAAGAAATCTTTTAAACGGAGAGGAGATTTAAAGGGCCACATGAGAATCCACACTGGAGAGAAACCATTCAGTTGCAGTGTTTGTGACAAAAGATTCACCTGGAGTCAAAAGGTCAAAATCCATAAGTGTGTTGGTCGTCAGTCCTCACAGCTTCATCAAACTCAGACTGAGGACAACTCTTCTGAACCTGACACTGAAGACAGGGTTGATTGGAAGGAGAGCAGAGAACCAGGTTCAAACTCTCAGAAAAATAAACAAGACCATGTCAGTGATTCAAGACGTAGTGCAGGAGAGAAACCATTCAGCTGCTCCGTCTGTAAGAAATCCTTTCGAAAGAGAGGATATTTAAACAAACATATGAAAATCCACACAGGAGAGAAACCATTCAGCTGCTCAGTCTGTGAGAAAACTTTTGCAGGGAGAGGAAATTTAAATCGGCACATAGCAATCCACACAGGAGAGAAACCATTCAGCTGCTTAGTCTGTAAGAAGTCTTTTACTCAGAGTGGACATTTAAAGAAACACATGTACATCCATACAGGAGAGAAACCATTCAGCTGCTCAGTCTGTGATAAATATTTTACACAAAGTGACATTTTAAAGGCCCACATGAAAATCCATACAGGAGAGGAACCATTCAGCTGCTCAGTCTGTAAGAAAGCTTTTGCATTGAAAGGATATTTACATCGACACATGAGAATACACACAGGAGAGAAACCAGTCAAATGCTCAGTCTGTAAGAAAGCTTTTGCATTGAAAGGATATTTACATCGACACATGAGAATACACACAGGAGAGAAACCAGTCAAATGCTCAGTCTGTAAGAAAGCTTTTGCACTGAAAGGATCTTTACATCGACACATGAGAATACACACAGGAGAGAAACCATTCAGATGCTCAGTCTGTATGAAATCTTTTACACAAAATGGAAGTTTGAAGTGCCACATGAGAATCCATACGGGAGAGGAACCGTTTAGCTTCTCAGTCTGTAAGAACTATTTTGTAGGGTACGGAAATGTAAAGAAACACATGAGAATCCACACAGGAGACAAACCATTCAGCTGCAGTGTTTGCGACAAAAGATTCACCTGGAGTCATCAGGTCAAAAGCCATAAGTGTTTTGGTCGTCAGTCCTCACAGCTTCATCAAACTGAGGAGAACAGAGAGGCAGAGCCTCCAGCCAGCAGCTCAGCTGAACACGTGGAAACAGAAGCTGATGGAGAGGACTGTGGAGGACCAGAACCAGCCAGGAACTCAGATCCAGAGAGACATTTACAACCAGAGACTGAGGACAACCCTGGAGACTCTTCTGAACCTGAAAATTAAGACAGTGATTATTAGGTTTAAACTCTTTGGTCCAACCTGTTAAACCCCATCCCCCCGGCATCATCTGCAGGAAACAGCATCTGAGGGCTTCTTAATATTTAATAAACTATGAATTTTTCATATCCATGTAACGGGAAGAAACTCAGCTAACTGATCTTTTTTATTTTTTTTGCAAAAAAAAACACAAAGCTAACGCTGAGCCTCTGAATTAGCCACGAGCGATGCTAACGGCGTTTGCACAGAAAACACGATATAACACCCTTATTACTTATCGTAGCTGCACATCCAACCCATCGATTAGCATCGTGAGAACACACAGAATCAATAGGTATCTATATCATCACTCCATGATAAGAACTCGCGACATAATAAACAAAAACAGACATCATGTCACGCGGCGCTAGGTAGCAAAAACGGTAATATGTCTTACCTTCGTTGTTGTCTGATCAAAAGTTGTCTTCAACGGCATTAAAATGATAAAAACGCTGCTGAAGGTTAATCCAATGTGTCTGTGTCCCTTTGAAATGATTTCTGATAATCCATTGGCAATAAACCTACTTTTCCGTTTTCAGATTTCAGAGCGTGAGATAGGTTTACGGCAAACTGCATGCGCGAAGCCCCCACTTTTTTTTGGTAACGTTGGTGTGTATGTGGAAATTCCCCTTCGATTCTATTGGCTCTAACGGTTAAAAAGAGATGTCAATCATCAAAATCGACCAATGGGTTCCAGAGAAACGGCAAAAACGCCCATTTACACCCAAATCACCCCAGAGGTGGAGTTTCTTTTTGCTAAACCTCTCTAAAAAGGTCAAATGTCACTTGTTTTGCATCAATCTTGATACAGGGTACTTATTATATGTTGTACTTTGGATTCCTAAAGCTTTTAGTCTACCATCCCATCATTCAACGGTAGTTTTCACTATAAGTAAAAAATCATTTTTGGACGGACACTATAATTTACAGTTTTTTACTATGTTCAATCTGAATTTTCTTTAAAATAAAAAACATCTATATTGATTCTGACTTTTCTACATCCAACTCACAGGTTTATCATTACTTTGAGAAAAAAGATTATTGATTTTCCCCTTTTAGAAGGGAAGATATGGTCATTTGTTCTGGGAATGTCATTTTCGAGCCTGAGACCTGAAAAACAGGCTTGGGGTCTAACAGGTTAAATTAAAATGTAAGTCCTTTCACCTCCGTTGAATCAGGGTGGAAGCAGAAATAAAATACTTTTTCATATCGAACGCTGAATTGTAATTTGTATTCTTGCTTTTTATACCTGTCTTAATCTATATTAGCCTTTTTAAGTTTCATTCTTTTTGCTCTTTATCATTGAAGGTTTATTTAGATAAACGGCTATGCGCCCTTATGCAATAGTAGAGGACCCAGGCTTTTATTGATTGTGATTGAAACACTTTCTTATTATTTATTTTGTAATATTTTCAAGACATTCTTTTTAGTTTTACAGCTTGATGAAACCTTTTTGTTTGACATTAGCCATTATAGATAATACGGCCATCTGATTGTGTGTGGTGCTGTTTGTGGTTTGTTTTTAACTGTGTAATAAAGTTAATTATTCAAAATGTTAAAGTTCCTTATTTTTAAACTGAAACTTGCACTACTGTTCAAAATAAATAAAAAACAAACCTGGAATTATGCATTTGGGACTTTTTCTTGCTTTTTCTTGTTGTACCGAACCCGTACCGAACCGTGACCCCCAAACCGAGGTACGTACCGAACCGTGAATTCTGTGAACAGTTACACCCCTACACCTTGTTCAAGCTTTAAAACCAGAATGTCCTTCATACGTCAAACTAGCCAAAGATGTAAGTGCTAGTTACATGCAGGAATAAGAAGTTTTGTCACCATGTTTTTATTTAACAAAATAATGTTGTTTAATCCACGTTGGCATAATACAACTACAAAAACCATCGGTTTGTTTTTTCATCAGGAACTGCAGCCTGGCTCAAAACAAACGATTTTCATCCTCACGATCATTTAATGTATCATATGTTCGCCGAATTGGCATGAAAGCACTAATAAATGTGGTTTAATCCACGTGAGTTTACAACTACAAAACATCACATCGACGGGAGGAAATGCAGGACTACCAATTTTTAATCATAATTTAATCATCTTCACGATCATTTATGTTTATGTTCGCCGAATTGACATGAAAGCAAGAACAAATATGAATATAGTGTAGTCAACTTCACTTTTCATGTTTCTCTGTTGTCCACGTTCATAAAGCATAAAACAACACCAGCAGAGCGCGGTGCAGAGATGAACACACACCGCACACACTCTCTCTATAGTAAAGAGAGAACAGAACTCTCGTGTTTTTATACGGCTGTTTTACGTGTGGGCACTAAACAAAAAATAAAGAATATAGAAACCATAGAGATATAAAGAATACAACAACCAGACTGTAAAGGTTTATCTTGTTTAAAATCAGAGATACGTTCAGACCCTCAAAAAACTGAAACGTTGACTTTGATCAAATGTGTTAGTGTCAGAGTTCACTGTATACGGTTAGTTAAAAGCAATTCTATTAAGTTACAAATATATATATTAGGTTCAACTCAAAATCATTGCTTTCAACTAATCTAAGACAGTCATTTTTTGACTTAATACATTTATTTTTATTTTTTATTTAGCCTTTATTTAGCCTTTATTTATACAGGTGTACAATCTCATTGAGACACAAGGTCTCATTTGCAAGAGAGACCTGTCAGTGGTAACACTACCACACAAAGTTACAGACAGACAGGACACTAAACACTAAAATACAACACCGTAAAAAAAGTAGTCATTGAAATCCATATACAGTATTCAGATATAGCAGGTGCAAACACCCACAGATGATTTCTCCAGCTTTTTTAAAATTAGTTTAAAATCCGTGATGGGTATCAAACTGGTCAGCTTAAGTTCCTGCTGAAGTGTGTTCCAGGTCGAGGGGGCAGAGTATGATATGGGACGAACAGAGTGATGATCGATCGTAGGCTATAGCTGTACTGTTTGTGTGATATGTAAGTGGATATGTAGAGGGGCAGCAACATTTATTTTTATTATAAATTTATTTAAAGTCAATGTTTCAGTTTTTTCAGAGCAGATCCTCTCTCAGAAAGCAGCATGGCCAAAACTCTTCATTTTGTCGCTTTGGATCACTTGCTGTCTTCGGATAGATTTATTGAAAAAGATAATGAAATTTAATCAGATTACATTTTCAGACGCTCATATATAGCTCCATCATTAGCACCATTTATAACGAATAAAACACAGATTTGAGCAAACGTGATAAATGTGAAGCCAAGTGTAGTCAGATATTTAGGCAAACAACAGAAATGAGGATGTCAAAAGTCGAAAAATTAAATAAAACTAGTCATAATGTATAATATTTGTTTTGTTCTGCAACCTTTTTGACCAAAAGAGCCATTTGCCCCTTTTCCACCAATTGTTTTTATCTGGAGCCGCAAAACATATTTCATAGCTTGATAGCTTATACAGTTGTATATGTTGTTATATCATAGACAAAAACTACGTTTTTTTTGCATTTATTATTTATTACATTAGAAAACTGTTGACCTCTAATAAGAAACAAAGAACTCTTATAAGGAGAATACAAATAAATACACAGGCCCACTTTAAATATTATATTTCTCTTTTTATACATATATTTTATTATTATTTTATTTATATTTTATTTCATTAATCAAATTTAAAATGTATTTTCAGTGTTTATGTATTGATCACATATATTTGTTTTTCTGTCTTCACACACATGCTCTCCAGTACAGGTTAGCTCTGAGTGTTAGCGATGCTAATGTAAACATGCACCGACCATATTACGTCCAAAACAGTCAGGCATTGTTTCTGATAGCAACGTTTCTGATAGTGCCATGGGTCCACATTTCAGATATTACGTCATATCGGACGCAAATCTGGATCAGCTCCGTTGTTCCCCCGTTTTGAGAGATTTGGGTACGGAGGAAAAGAGAGAGGGTTTTATTTTCTGACGCTGCGTGAGTTCCCCGACACACGTTCTTGGCTGGCTCTGGTTCTCTGTCAGTGATGGTTACTTTTGTGTCATTAGAGCACAATGGACTTGTTTCTGTGCTTATTATTTGTTTTAATGCACATTCAGACTTGACTTAGAGCAATGATGTTTTATCACACTGAGAGCAGGTATCACGTTATACACACTTACTGGGACTAACTCAAAGAGTTTAAACCTAACAATAATCACTGTCTTCAGCTTTGAAGCCAATTGGTTCTCAACAGGGTTCATCTCATGAGGCTTCATTTGAACACAAACCCCCTGTTGGTCAAAGAGTGTAAAACAGGCAGATATGAAATCTCAACAGTGTGATCTTTCTCATACCGAGTTCCCAATGAGTAAAGCCTTAGAATAACTCTAAACAATGAACATGAAATAATATTTTCATGTTATCGATATCGTATATATTCCAGTTTAATGATTGTAAATGAGAAGCCTAAGGATAAGATAAGATTCAACTTATTGTCGGACCAGTGTGTGGGAAGATGGCGCCTGTGTCGGCTCGCCGCTCCCTCAGCTCTCTGCCTTTAGCTATCCTGTTTTTGTTTTATGTTTGTCAGAATGTCTCTGCTCTGCTCGTCTACGATCGCCAAGCTCTCCTCCACCTCAGACCCTCACTGGAGTGTATATTGCTGCCCAAACCTACATCTGGCAACCATAAATCGTCCCCCCCCCCCCCTCTACTGTTGGATATACCCACCTACCTGTGCCGGTTGCCCTGCATCCTGCCTCGCCGAAAGCGCTTTAGACGATGGGGAAAGCGTGGTGGTGCACTGGTCCATCTTAAGGCATACCTGACGGCTTCTTCTGGGACTTATCCACGCCTCGGATGTCATGGCCCTCCCGCTGCACGCCATGTGAGGGATCGATGGATTCGCCCTGTTTTTCCGGAGCTGCGACCTCTGCTGGGCCCGCTGACAGCTCCTCCTGCCCGACTGACTGCTCCCGGCCCGCGCGGCGTTCAACACGCTCATCTTCGTCAGCTGAGACGCACTACACCTTCGGCAAGCCCGGAGCGAAAACTTTGCATGGCTTTGCTAAATGTTAGGTCAATACCAAAGCACCGACAGCACCTTTTTTTATCTAAAGGCCTAGAGCGAGTAGTCTACGCTCAGCTGCAGTCTTTCTTAACCACGCATGGAATCCATGAAAAGTTTCAGTCTGGCTTCAAACCCATGTACAGTACTGAAACAGCCCTTTTAAGAGTTTTTAATGATCTGCTCCTGGCCGCCGACTCAGGTAGCCCAGCTGTCCTGGTGCTGTGAGACCTGACAGCTGCCTTTGACACTGTGGACCATAGCATCCTGCTGTCACGGCTTGAACAGTCCGCTGGCATCACAGGCTCTGCCCTTGCATGGTTCAGGTCCTACCTGACAGACCGTAGCTTCTCGGTACAGCTAGGTGCCTTCTCCTCTGCTAAAGCCCCTCTTACCTGTGGGGTTCCCCAAGGCTCGATTCTGGGCCCCATCCTCTTTCTACTGTACATACTGCCCCTAGGTTCAATTCTCACAAAACATAATATTCCCTTCCACTGCTACGCCGACGATGTACAGATATATCTGCCTCTCAAAGCAAATGTCAAACACTCACTACAGCAGCTGATGGACTGCTTAGCAGAGATAAAATCCTGGCTGAGCAAAAACTTTCTCAACCTCAACGAGAGCAAGACCGAGGTCATCTTTTTTGGACCCCAACCTCCAGCCTCTCCGGTTGATATTCTGGGCTCTCTCAAAAAAAACATCCTCCCCTCGGTCATGAACCTTGGAGTGACCTTCACTAGCACTTTTAAATTCGACAAGCAGGTCAGCACCGTAGTCAAATCCTGCTTTTTTTAAATAACACTATTGGCCAAAACCAAGTCGTATTTATCTTTTAAAGACTTAGAAAGGGTTATTAACGCCTTTGTAACCTCAAGACTGGACCAGGCCTCAATTAAACGCCTTCAGCTAGTCCAAAACGCAGCTGCACATTTGCTGACTGGCCACAAAAAGCGTGACCACATCACCCCTATTCTGGCCTCGCTACACTGGCTTCCAGTTCGGTTCAGAATAGATTTTAAACTCATTTTATTTGTTTTTAAAGCACTAAATGGGCTGGCTCCGGCCTATATAACTGAACTCCTCCAGCGCTACACCTCAGCCAGAGCTTTAAGGTCGGCTGACCAGCTGCTGCTGGTAGTGCCCAAGACCAGGCTCAAAACCCGAGGGCACCGAGCCTTCGCAGCAGCTGGCCCTAGGCTCTGGAACACTCTGCCCCTCCATGTGAGGTCGGCCCAGACCCTAGGGGTTTTTAAATCTACACTAAAAACACACTTCTTCTCTCTGGCCTTCTAGTCAGAGCGGAGCACGACTCCTGACTTTTCCTTGTGTTTTTTTATTTATTTTTTATATCTGTTGTAATTTATTGTCTTTGATTGTGATTGTAGTAATGTGTTTTTATTACATGTACAGCACTTTGGCTCGACCAAAAATCGCTTTTAAATGTGCTTTATAAATAAAACTTGATTTGATTTGATTTGATTTGATATTGTCATTACATAGTACAGGTACTATGTAACGAAACGGTTTCTCTGCATTTAACCCATCCTAGTGTTAGGAGCAGTGGGCTGCCATTATGTACGGCGCCCGGGGAGCAGTGTATGGAACGGTGCCTTGCTCAGGGACACCTCGGTAGCACTTGGTCTTTCCGGGACTTGAACTGGTGACCTTCCAGTTGCCAAGCCAAGTCCCTATGGACTTCGCCACCACCACCAAGGAGGATGGTAAACAAACAAAGAGGGATTTGTATTCCTAAATGTTACTCGTAAACTTAACCATGTTAAAGACTCAGAAAGGCTAAACAACAAAATATAAATTGATTAACTTAATAAATGTATATTTCCAGCAGTACATTTCACAAATAGCTCCAAATGTCATTTGTTTCTCTCCCCCTCTATTCCTGGAGTGTCATACATTATTTCTAAACAACAGAGCACGTGTTATCTCAAAGATTTACAATACTTATTTTACATTGGAAAAAGGTTACTTTTCATAAAGTTTACACCTTGTTCAAGCTTTAAAAGCAGAATGTCCTTCACACATCAAACTAGCCAAAGATGTAAGTGCTAGTTACATCCAGGAATAAGACGGTTTTAATGTGTTAATGTTACAAAAACATGGCCGACAGATGCTTCTTGACTCGGCGTGTCAGGCATTAGTCTCTTCTTACCCATACTCCTCTCTGTTTCTCACTTTCAATAACCCTGAACAATTTGTATTGATGATCATCACATTCAACCTTATTTCATTTCAAAAGAAACTGCAACTATTGAGCACATATTGTTTATCCTGTCTTTTATTTGTTAACAATATGATTTGTTGATTACAGTGTACTCTAACTTATTCTGAATATCTTATTGTGTGTCTACCATAGCAACTCTGTAGGTAAGTATATTGTTGATGTTTATATGCATATCGGTTTTTTTAATAATAGTTTGAACTTTAGTGCAATGCCTTGTTTATTACTTGTTTCTGAAGCTGCAACTAAATATATAAGTAAATCTAATCTCATCTAAATAAACCTTCAATAATAAAGAGCAGAAAGAATTAAACTTAAAAAGGCTAATATAGATTAAGACGGGTATAAAAAATAATAATACGAGTTACAATTCAGCGTTCGATTTGATTTCTGCTTCAACCCTGATTCAAAGGAGGTGAAAGGACTTCCATTTCAATTGTCCTCAGTCTCTATCCAATCAGCACTGTCTTCAGTGTCAGGTTCAGAAGAGTCTCCAGGGTTGTCCTCAGTCTCTGGTTGTAAATGTCTCTCTGGATCTGAGTTCCTGGCTGGTTCTGGTCCTCCACAGTCCTCTCCATCAGCTTCTGTTTCCAGGTGTTCAGTTTGTCTTTGATGAAGCTGAGAGGACTGAGGTTTCTCTTCATCTTCACTCTTCACAGGGACAGAAGTGAATGTGGACTTGGTGATATCAGCCTCCTCCAGCCCTTGAAGCTGCTCTCCCTCCTGACTGATCCAGAGTTCCTCCTGTTCCTCTTTAATGTGTGGGGGGGGCTCTGGGTCCTCCTGGTCCAGACTGGAGCTCCACTCCTGCTGCTCAGGGGGAACCTCTTCTTTAACCACCACCAGCTGCTGGACGTCTGCAGGAAACAGGAAACACACAGAGAGACGTTACAGAGAACAGCTGTTGTGTTCATTACGTCACCGCTCAAAGCCCCGTTTTGAACCCCTTGTTTGTATATTCCTAATTAATATCATAAATACCTATGGCTAATATATTTTTACATTTATGCACCAACAACTATCGCAGAGAAAGGTAAGTGTAATTATAATTGGAGTGGTTTGGTACCCCTACATGTGGATACAGCTTGGGACCCGGATTGCCTTTTGTGTTTTTAAGGCAGCTCTAAATAGAGATATGAATGATTTAGAAGAGTAACTAGAGCGGTCAGTCAAATGAAGTGCAGTCATGGCCTTACCCCCCATCGGTGAAACACGATAAGAAGTGCTGCTCGAGCGTTAACTTATAAAAATCCTTCAAACATTTGTATTTTCTATTCACAAGTTTTAACTTCTGATGTGAACCATGCCTCGCAAAAAAAAGATATCGGAAGACCTACGAGGAAGACATTTAGATTTCACCAAAAGTTAGGGATGCACCGATAGGAGTACGAGTACATGAGGACAGCATCGGCCTGATACCCGTTAATGGGATCGGTATCGTTGCATCCCTAATAAAACACAGAGGGTTACAAATTAATATCAAAGAGTTGAGATATTGATGAAGATGCAGGTTATGTATAATGGGTTACAGGGTTAACCCTTGGTTGTGCAGCCTGATGGCTACAGGCACAAAAGATTGTCCGAGAAGCTTAGTGCTGTGCCGAGGAGGGATGAGTCTGAGGCTCATGGGGGGGGGCGTCTCCTCTCCTCTCTGATGAGCTGCTGCTGAAGGGGGGGGGGGCATGCTGCAGGACTTCCGCCCCGTGTAGCGGGTGTCTGCAGGATCAGTAAATGAAATCCAACATTCAATGTTCTGGGGAGGACGTTGTTTACCCTGTCTGCACTGCTCCTTCAGTGACAGGCTGCTGCACCCCCGCTGTCTCACGGAGAGATACCGCAGGTCCTTCCTTCCTGCAGCGATCAGACTATGTGCTAACTGTGCAATATATACCTGGCTGCTAAATCCTAAGAACTTTAAAAAGAAAAACGTTAATACATTTGTATGCATGCTTCTCCGTAACATTAAGCTGCCTTTGGCTCTTTTCTATTGTAACGACGTACATTTCCCCTCTGGAAAGTATCCTGATTGATTTGACCTGGGGGCACAACAACACGTTGTACATGATAGGCTAAGGGGCGGGACATCTCTAAGTGGTCGACCAATCACAACAGAGCCGGCCAGCTTACCATTCAGAGCAGACTGGGCTCTTGTTTCAGACAGAGGGTGAAAAGAGGCAGTATGACAAAAATAAAGAGCTTTTTCAACATTAAAGCATGGAGACATGTCCCAGTGAAGAGAACATACTAATACCAACCTGAAAATGAACAGAAAATGTTATCCTTGTTGTTGTCCTCAGTCTCTGGTTGTAAATGTCTCTCTGGATCTGAGTTCCTGGCTGGTTCTGGTCCTCCACAGTCCTCTCCATCAGCTTCTGTTTCCATGTGTTCAGCTGAGCTGCTGGCTGGAGGCTCTGCCTCTCTGTTCTCCTCAGTTTGAGTTTGATGAAGCTGTGAGGACTGACGACCAACACACTTATGGCTTTTGACCAGATTACCCCGGATAAATCTTTTATCACAAACATTACAATGGAATGGTTTCTCTCCTGTGTGGATTCTCATGTGTCTATTTAAATCTCCTTTACGTGTTAAAGACTTCTCACAGACTGAGCATCTGAATGGTTTCCCTCCTGTGTGGATTTTCATGTGTGTCTGTAAATGTCCTTTCTGTGGAAAAGAATTGTCACAAACTGAGCAGCTGAATGGTTTCTCACCTGTGTGGATTTTCATGTGTGTCTTTAAATCTCCTTTACGTGTTAAAGACTTCTCACAAACTGAGCAGCTGAATGGTTTCTCTCCTGTGTGGATTCTCATGTGTGTCTTTAAATCTCCTTTACGTGTTAAAGACTTCTCACAAACTGAGCAGCTGAATGGTTTCTCTCCTGTGTGGATTCTCATGTGTCTCTTTAAATCTCCTTTATTTGTTAAAGACTTCTCACAGACTGAGCAGCTGAATGGTTTCTCTCCTGTGTGGATTCTCATGTGTCTATTTAAATTTCCTTTATGTGTTAAAGACTTCTCACAGACTGAGCAGCTGAATGGTTTCTCTCCTGTGTGGATTTTCATGTGTGTCTGTAAATTTCCTTTCTGTGTAAAAGAATTGTCACAAACTGAGCAGCTGAATGGTTTCCCTCCTGTGTGGATTTTCATGTGTCTATTTAAATTTGATTTCTGTGTAAAAGAATTGTTACAAACTGAGCAGCTGAATAGTTTCCCTCCTGTGTGGGTGCTCATGGGTCTATTCAGATGTATCTTGCTGCAATTTGCTTTCCCGCACTGTGAGCATCTAAAGCATTTCTCTCTAGCACTACGTCTTGAATCACTGACAGGGTCTTGTTTATTTTTCGCAGACTTTGAAGCTGGTTCTCTGGGTTCCTTCCAATCTCCACTGTCTTCAGTGTCAGGTTCAGAAGAGTCTCCAGGGTAGTCCTCAGTCTCAGGTTGTAAATGTCTCTCTGGATCTGAGTTCCTGGCTGGTTCTGGTCCTCCACAGTCCTCTCCATCAGCTTCTGTTTCCAGGTGTTCAGTTTGTCTTTGATGAAGCTGAGAGGACTGAGGTTTCTCTTTATCATCTTCACTCTTCACAGGGACAGGAGTGAATGTGGACTTGGTGATATCAGCCTCCTCCAGCCCTTGAAGCTGCTCTCCCTCCTGACTGCTCCAGAGTTCCTCCTGTTCCTCTTTAATGTGTGGGGGGGGCTCTGGGTCCTCCTGGTCCAGACTGGAGCTCCACTCCTGCTGCTCAGGGGGAACCTCTTCTTTAACCACCACCAGCTGCTGGACGTCTGCAGGAAACAGGAAACACATATTCAGAGAAACTGTAGAGTATAAGAATTTAAAATCTAACCACGAGTAACACTTCATTAACTTTGCAGCCCTTATCCATTCCTTATTTTAAAGCTCCCATGTCATGCTTTTCCGGTTATTACCCGTCCCCTTGTGTGTTATGAAGGTTTTTATGCATGTAAACGGTGTGCAGAGTCAAAACCCTCAAAGTACACCCTAGTTCCGGGTACCGCCTGATGTCATGCGGTACCCGGAACGAAATGGACCAATCCCGAAGAGCTATGGCCACACCAGCAGCGGCGTGTTCCTCCAGAGGTTCGAAGAACCGGCATTTCACAGACGAAAGCTTCCAAAACATTGCCCAGTTTGAGGCCGGATATGCACAGCTTGTTTGGACCGTTTGGAGCAGGGGAAGATTCGGGTACACAACCTGTGAGTTTGCATTGTTATTTGTGTATTTATCAAACAAGGTAGCTACCACGACTGTTTAAATGTGTAAACATGTTTCGGACTGCTAAGCCAGTGCTAACTGTGCTAACTAAGTTGCTAGAGTTTAAATATATCAACTACAATGTCAGCAGATGGCCTTACATGTTTGTCATGGCAGGAGAATGTCTGCAGTCACACACACGGAATACTCATACAGTATACTCCGGGTGATTTACCGTACATTGTGACAGTACATGTATAGCTAACGAGGCTAGCTATACATGCTAGCGGGAAACATTGTATGACCGAACGTAGCAGACTACCCGTAGAATAATGCAATTATAAACACGTTATTGCTAGCCTAATATGAACCACTAACTTTTGTTCATAGTAGTTTTATTACACTCCGTTCCTCCAAGCTAACGTTCATATCGTGTTAGCTACCAAGGTAAACAAAGCTAGGTTAGCATATTAGCAGGCAAGCTGTTCATTAGATATATCCACACTCCTACCACAACTACTACTAACGAATCTAAAACAACTAAGTTTCTCTAATATTTTGTGATTTGCATTTTATTTCGTCCAGACAGATCCTGCCGGACAATACATGACTGGACGACCACACTGAGGCATCGTCTCAAAAAGCCCCGGCTGCTATAGGCAAGATGCCGACAACAATATATGTATATTTACGTTCATTTTGTACATTTCTAAAAATAAAGTTTAATGGAAATACTTAGTAGGCCTATCCTTTCTTCCCTGAATTATTTGCACCTATAACATATCATTCATATATAGCAAACCATGATTTGATTTCTCATCAAACAGTAGTAGTTTATAACGGGTAAAAATAACTTACTCTTTGTTATGACCGGCTCGTAGGCCACAACGGAAAGACAAGGAGACATACACGAGTTTACAAAACCACGGCACATTTATTGTGGTAAATGCAGAGATAGGTGGTTGAGAGGATCGCAGAGTTAGTCTTCCTGCAGCCGCTTTGGAGAGAGACAGGGGCCGCAGTTTGACTCCGGGCAGCTGGGCTTAATAGCACCTCGGCTCCGGAGGTGTCCGTGATCGCGCTGATTAGCCTCTTCAGCTCCACCCCATCGTAAGACAAAGGCCCTGGGGCCGTCACACTCTTCTATAACAACAGTTAAAAATATATATGTATATAAAATATACGGCTGTACCGACGCCATGATCAGACTGATGTTCCGCTGAGAGCAGCCGGGAAAAGCACTGAGACATGGGCGCAGCCTCTCTGGTGGTTGACTAATCAGAACAGAGTGGCCGAGCTGACCAATCGGAGCACACTAGGCTCACAGGGAGGGGGGGGCAAGAGCTCCAACGAGTCGTTTAGTGGAGAAAGTGAATACTGCTGAATACACATGCTTGACAGAGATGCTGTATGCGAAACCAATGTGAGTTTGGAAAATTGCACAGTATAAATCTATTTTAGTATACCTCAACAATGTAATTATGATCAGTGGAAATGGCCAAGACATGGGCCCTTTAAATGCATGCCTATTGATTTGCTAAGTCCCGCCCACTCTGTGTTTCTGTTGGCTCGATTGTCTGTCAATTACACCTTTTTTCCAGATGCTCTGGAGAGCTTCAGGACAACAGGTGAGTTAGTACTGTAGCTGATCTAAATCATAGTAACAGTTCTTAGTTTGGACAGGGAGAGCGTGGGGGCGAAGTTTCTACTTTTCTGTTTGCAGATATGAGTTTCTACATGTAGGTTTGAGTAATTCATGCTAATGTTAGTTAGCAGGGTTAGCTCTGTATGTACTGGCTGCATGAGATGTTGGTCTGTTTTTAGTGATTGTTTTAGAAAGTTGGAGGGGGCTCCTATTAAGGCACTGCTAGCTGTGCCCTTCATTTAACACTTAGAAAATAGGAAGGAGTAGTACTGTTGAGGAACCGGTGACCTACGTTTGCATAGCATAACTACACCGTAGTTGTGTATATGATATGACAATATCACCAAGGGGGGTCCTGTGTGGGTGGAAGCTCATTCCCCAGCAGACCCAGTCCTCCAGAATTGTCCTAATCACAGAGTAAATGAGAAAAAAATTAATTGATCTAATTATACACAGGGTGGCAAAATTATGATTGCAAAATGTAACTCAGCATTACAGACAAAACCATATTTAAAATGACGTACTGTTTTAGTTTAAAAAAAGAAAAGAAAAGTGACAGTCACAGCTAGCATCCCTTTGACAGCACTCCAAAAACTTAAATCAAGCAAAAGTCTTCTGTCCATTTCTGATGGTCTTATTATTATGGGATAAGGATACATATTTCCTGGATTATTCGAACCACGCTCCGAAGCCTCGGCACAGTACTTAAAGGTAGGGTAGGTAAGAATGGAGAAACCAGCTCGAGTGCGCTAGAATTTGAAAGAACACAACCGAAAGAAATCTGCCCCTTCCTTCAGACTTCCTCACAGAGCCCCTCCTCCAACACAAACGAACGCGCACATGACCAATGAATTACCTACCCTACCTTTAACATCACTATAGATTATGTTCCAAACCACATCAAGCATTATTTCTGAAACAGTATGGAGCTCAAACGCTTTCTCTCTTGCGGGTTTAGCACAAGGTGAGTTCCTTTAATATCCGGCTTCTTCACACATACTCCCTCCAGTACAGCGTTAGCTCTCAGTGTTAGCGATGCTTGCTAATGTAATCAGACCATATTACTCCCAAAACACGTTGCGCATTATTCTGATACAGCGATGTTTCCGATAGGTTGGGGCGGAACGTTTATTCAGCGTTTACCACTAGAACAGTGCCATTGTATGCATTAGTATTGTCACGATACCAACATTTTTGTTTCGATACCAAGTCAAGAATTGCGATTTCTTAAAAAAGGGGAAACTGTCTTAAATGTCATTATTGTGCTTTATTTCAAACCTGGAAAAATGTTTCAGTCATAACACAAACCTTTGAACAATGAGAATAATAAATGAAATTAAAGCTGCAAGTAGCGTTGAGCGGGTCTTCGACGCTCCGCAGGCTGTTGTCTGCACGTCGAGGTGTGTGTGTAGGTGTCTCGAGGACTCGGCCGTTGGCAAACGTGGGAAGTTTCAGGCCGATCGGACAACGTACATGGGAGTTACAGCAGTATCATAAACATTGTGTTTGATGGCGAGTGATCTGTCGCCATGGCAACGGCATTTGATGACAACACATAATACACCTAGATATGTTGAGGGCTGCATCGGTATCAAACCTGTGAAGTTGTGTGCCGTTTGGAGCATGTTAACTGGAGTTACGAGAAAACCGTGTTTTACGGCGACCATTTTGTTACCATAGCAACGACATTTGACGAAATCTCAAAACTGACACATATATGTCTCGAGGGCTTGACGGTTAGCACACATGTGAAATTTGAACACTTTTTTACCATTTACACAGGAGTTATAGCAATATCGTGCTTAACGGCGAGGGATGCGTTGCCATGGCAACAGCTTTTGAGGAAAACTCACTATTGTCATATTGAGGTGTTGAGGGCCGGACCATTAACTGTCATCTGAAGTCTGGTGCAGTTTGGAACCTTTTCCATTGACTTAAGACAACTTCGTGTTTTTTGGCGAGGGATGCGTTGCCATGGTAACGGGATACGATGACATCCCAGAATTGGCGTAGAGCTGTTGAGGGCCGGACCATTAACTGTCATCTGAAGTCTGGTGCAGTTTGGAAGCTTTTCCATTGACTTACGACAACTTCGTGTTTTTTGGCGAGGGATGCGTTGCCATGGTAACGGCATATGATGACATCCCATAATTGTGGTAGAGCTGTTGAGGGCCAGACCATTAACTGTCATCTGAAGTCTGGTGCAGTTTGGACCATTTTCCATTGACTTAAGACAACATTGTGTTTTTTGGCGAGGGATGCGTTGCCATGGAAACGGCATATGATGACATCCCATAATTGGCGTAGAGCTGTTCAGCGCCGGACCATTAACTGTCATCTGAAGTCTGGTGCATTTTGGACCATTTTCCATTGACTTAAGACAACATTGTGTTTTACGGCTAGGGATATGTTGCCATGGAAACGGTATATGATGACATCCCATAATTGACATAGTGCTGTTGAGGGCCGGACTAGTAGCCACGATCTGAAGTCTGGTGCAGTTTGGACCATTTTCCATTGACTTAAGACAACATTGTGTTTTACGGCGAGTGATTCGTTGCCAT